GATGCATCTAATTCTCTGTCTCTAGCTTTGACTTTTTCTTCTAAGCTCTAGACCCATACACACGTAGCCACTGCCTACAGGTCACTGCCACATAGGTATCTCACAGACACTTCTAACTCCATCTGACATTATCTAAATACATTACTTGCCCCCCAAACCTGCTTCTTCCCTGCTGTTTCATACCTTGGTTAATAGCACCAACATTCATCCAACCAGGAAAACCAAAAAATCTGGAAATCATTAAGAATACAGAGATGGGTGTGCTATAACTTTACTCTCAAGAAATAGTCAGTCTCACAGGGCACAGGTATGTAAATTTCTCTCTCTTCTTAAAACCAACATTAACGATGTTTGTCACTCTTGTGGAAGTTAGAATTCTACTTTTGATAAGAGTAAGAATTCTTTTATTTTTATTTTTATTTTGAGAGATAAAGAGAGAGAGAGAGAGAGAGAGAGAGAGAGCATGTGAGCAGGGGAGGGCCAGAGACGGAGGAAGAGAAAGAATACCAAGCAGGCTCCGTACTCTCAGTGCAGAGCCTGGCACAGGGCTCGACTGCATAAACCATCAGATCATGACCTGAGCTGATATCAAGAGTCAGATGCTTGGGGTCGCCCACGGACCCCAAGAATTCTTATTTATAAACTTGTCTGAATTAAACTGTGGTCTCTTTTTGAAACTATGTAGGGCAGGACATATATCTCATTGATTATAACCCCCTGACATATTTCATTGAATACAATTGATCTTTAACAGCTGTTGAAAATGACTGTAATGAAATGAAATGAAAAATGACTGTAAAACAATAAAGGAAGTGAACAGTGAGATGGAGACAGACATAAATAAGTAGCTGTGGGATTATATCAGGGAAAAATTATCTATAGCTGGAGAGAACAGGGAACAAACATTGATATGAAGACAGTAGAATTTGATATGTTCTAATGAAAGAATAGGGGACATGCCAGGCATTGGGAATGTATCAAGAAAAAAGAAGGAAAATTATAGAATACATAAGGAAATAAAATTAAGTTTTTCAGACTATTGAGTATTCAAAGTACAGAAAAAGTGAACATGGTTAGAGATGAGAGAACTCATTTGCAGGTAAATAGAAGAATACATTTTTAAAAAACTGGAAAATACTTTACACTTATTGACATAAAATTGTTCATATGATTCTTTTAATCATTTTTTATCTTTTTTACTACAGAACATTACAATCATAGAATACACAATGATCCCCTGTACCTGTACCTAGACTCAAAAGTATCAATTCAAGCTATGTCTTACTTCATTTACACCTACTCACTGGACCCCAAGACTATTGTGAAGCAAATGACAGACATTCTGTAATTTCACTTGTAAATATATCTGTGTGTATCTCCAAGTGACAAGACCCCTTCTGCAAGCATAACTGTAGTAACATTATCACAATTTAAAAAGTAATAATAACGCATTGTATTATCAATATTCTGTGTTCAGAGTTCCCCGATTTTCTCCTAGCTTGTTTTAGAGTTTGTTTGAATAAAACACGATTTAATGAAGGTCCATATACTGCAATTGGTTTTTATATATCTGAAATCAGTCTTTTTCTCTCTCACTCATTCTCTTTCTTCCCTCTTTCCCTCCCTTTCTCTTAATCCTCTCAGTATAACATAAAATAGATATAAAAAAATACTTCAATGTATATATGAGTTAATGTATTATTGTAAAGCAAATACCTTCAAACCACCACTGAGGTCCAGGAATAGAACAGTACTCCTCACACCTGAAAAGTTTCTGCATGCCCCATGTCAATCACAGATCTTTTACTATCCCCCAAAGAGGCCATTATCTATACTTTCACAGTAGAATTGTTTTCTTGTTTTCATTTATAATTTCATCACCTCCACAGACACTATAGTCTCAACCATTTTTAAATGTGTCTTATATGTTTCTTTGAATCTACACATTTTCACATCATGCCTTTCTTTTTTCTTGCAATTTATCTGTTGAATAACTCAAGGCCTATAGAATTCTCCAGTATGGATTTTGCTGACTGCAAACTCATTGTGTAGATCAATACATTCCCCTCTTCTCTACATATCCTGCAAAATGGCAGCCGGATCCAAATCAGACTCAGGTTTAATCCATTTGGAACAATTATAGGTGATATTTTATTCTTTCATAAGAACGAATATGTCCAGCTGTTTGATTTCTTATGATGGTACCAGTCACTGATTCTTAATGCTTAGATTTATTAATTTTTTCGGGGTTGAAAAATGATTATATACTTTTATAAAAACACACTTCTCTGTACTATTTCATTACTCGGTGCACATTTCTTATAGAAAAGGCAGAAAAAATACTTGATATTTTCCCTTTACCAGTTTTCAAGATAACAAACTGATTTCTATCATCCACTAAATGTGACCAATTATTTTGAAATAGTATGAACTTACAGATTTAAATTTAATTCTTAAGATTTAACCCATTGTGACTAATCCCTCCTGAAGTTCAAATTGTTCCATTTTCAACCAATGGAAAACTCTTAAAGTTAGCTCCTAGGTCATTTCATTAATGACTTAAACTGTTAGATGTTAACATTTTATTTATTTTTATTTTTTATTTATTTGTATTTCTTAAAAAAATTTTTTTTAATGTTTATTTATTTTTGAGAGAGACATAGACAGAATGCTAGTGGGTTAGGGGCAGAGAGAGAGACACACAGAATCCGAAGCAAGCTCCAGGCTCTGAGCTGTCAGCACAAAGCCCGATGCAGGGCTTGAACTCACCAGCTGTGAGATCATGTGACCTGAGCTGAGTGAAGTTGGATGCTTAACCAACTGAGCCACCCAGGTGCCCCGATAACATTTTAAACTATGATTATGAATTGCCTATTTCTTCCTTTAAATCTGTCAACTTCTGCTTCATGCATTTGGACACACTGCTGTGAAGCACACGTACTATTTTTATGGCTTTCTGATGAACTGACCCTTTTATTATTTTGAAAAGTCCTCTTTATCTCCGGCAAAGTCTACTTTATGTGTTACTGGCATATCCGTTCTAGCTTCCTTGTTTTTATTCACCATTTATTTTCCATTTAAAGTTATTTTCTCCACTCTACTTTCTGTACATATTAAGGCATTATCTATCACATTCACTTACAATTATGTTCCTCTTAGTTTCAGGCTTCATTTATGAAATGACTTATTTTCTTCTTTCTAAATTTTTACTGAATTATATAACTTCTGGACTTTTCTTTTTTTTTTTTTTAATTTTTTTTTTTCAACGTTTATTTATTTTTGGGACAGAGAGAGACAGAGCATGAACGGGGGAGGGGCAGAGAGAGAGGGAGACACAGAATCGGAAACAGGCTCCAGGCTCTGAGCCATCAGCCCAGAGCCTGACGCGGGGCTCGAACTCACGGACCGCGAGATCATGACCTGGCTGAAGTCGGACGCCTAACCGACTGCGCCACCCAGGCGCCCCTGGACTTTTCTAATTCTTATTTATCTATGTTATTCTTTCTCATCTTATATCATTTCTTAATGTCTTGTGGCTCATTTTTGAAACAGTAAGTCATATTATGTCCTTCTGGCATGCATTTTCTTTTTTGATAGAAATGTTATTCTGCTTCTTATTCTTCTTTTTCTTATAACTTTGAATGGGATTTTTCCCTTGGTTTTTTTGTTGTTTATTTTTATGTAAAGTTAGGTTTTTTTTGTTTGTTTGTTTTTTTGTTTGTTTGTTTATTTTGTTTTGTTTTCCCTGAGCTTTTAGGTTGGCAGATTTTCTAACTTCACAGAGATCTCTCTTACAAACTAGGATCTTGAGATTTCCTGAGCCTCTTCTGCTCTTCCATTTTTAGCTGGTCCTTCTCTTTTCTTCCTCTGTATTGTCCTGATCCTGTTTATTTGTTTTCAAGTTTATTATTTATCTATTTATTTATTTATTTATTTATTGAGAGCTCATGCACGTGTGAGAGGGGAAGAGAGAAATGGAGAGACAGAATCCCAAGCTGTCAGTGCAGAGCCCCATGTGGGGCTCGATCTCATGAACCATGAGATCATGACCTGAGCTGAAATCAAGAGTGAGACGCTTAACTGACTGAGCCACCCAGGTGCCCCAGTGATCCTGTTTACTTTTGATCACACTCCCAGCAGCTTGTCCTCAGTGGAGGTGGCATTTTATTCAGAGTTACAAGGCACTTGGACTATTTCCATCCCTTCAGAACTTCTTACTATGGGCCTCTTGGATTCACCTTCTATTTGAGAGCATAACTCTTCCTTATTTCAGCTGCTGTTCTCAAATTAGCCCACCTTACTTTCCAGTGAGTACCACTGGCTTTTGGGGGGTTCCCTATTGTCAAGTCTGCAAGGTACCACATTACTTCCATCTGCCCTCTTCCCTAGACACTGATTCTGTGTGTGGTTTTCCCATAAGTAGATGCATGTTTTACAAACACATGTAAATGTGGTCCAGAAGGGTTTAGCTTTGGCTTCTGTGGATATTTGAAGACATTAAACAACAATGCCACTACCCCAGGGGCCACCTCCAACACTTTCATTTTTGATTAAACAATTTCCAAATCTCTTAGATGTGCAAAAGACCACAGAAGGATTGTGTCCACAAATGAGGGCAAACATAAACACACACACAAGTAATAATAAAATACAGTGTTGATTAATCAAGGTGTTGAAATACACCAGAAGAACGGGCAGCTGCTGGCCTCACTCAGCAGCCAGCAGAAGCATGTGGCATTTCTCCAATGGTATTTCATACGAAATTAATAGAAATATAGTAATTCTAGTTATCCACTGAATGTAATTTGGGAGATGGTGAATGGAGACAAAGCATTCTCTACCACTTTCTTTAAAATGGCACAAACTGAGGAAGTGATAAAAGATTTGTATAAAGCTATTAAGGAAGAATAAGAAATCTGATGGGCAAAATGGCATTCTCTACATTAACTCAACAGTTATTGGCATTTTAGAGAGGGCAAAATGCTCTTGAGCTTGCTTACCATATACCAAGTGATGGTTGGTTTGACACTGGAAGGAAAAAATCCATCTACATTTGGACAAGTGATCTTCTGAACACCATATTCTATATATAGTCTATGCACTGGGAGTTTCATGGAGGAATTGAAGCAGCTATCTTTCTGAACCACTTCAAGAGGAAATGCAACTTTGCTGCAATACGTGGTGTTCCTGAAAAGAGAAATACACAGTAAATGGGCAATCTCATTTTCATTTGATTTAACACAGCAATCCCATTGAAATGAGCTAAAGGAAATAATGCTACATATGGAGATTTCATTTATCCGTAAGTTCATGTAAGAATTAAATGTATTATGGAGGTATTTCCTGTACCAATTTGACATCACAAAATAAAAACAGACACCATTAACTACTATTGATATACTGAAATATTTACCTTTTAGGGTGACTGGGGATTGCACTTGTGTTTGAATGTCTGCACACGTCATTTCATCTGCCTGGATAGGGCTCTTCTCCTCCCATCACCCCGCACTTAGACATTCCCTTGACTGAATTTATCATAGTTCAAACAAGGGCACGACCATGTGTATTTTCTTTTGTTCCTTGCATGTAATACAGTGTCTAAACTTTCAGAAGGCACTGAATAAATACATTATTTTTAATATTTATTTATTTTTAAGAGACAGAGAGAGACAGAGCATGAGCAGGGGAGGGGCAGAGAGAGAGAAGGAGACACAGAATCTGAAGTAGGCTCCAGTCTCTGAGCCTGATGCAGGGCTCAAACTCATGAACTGCGAGATCATGACCTGAACCGAAGTGGGACGCTTAACCAACTGAGCCACCCAGGCGTCCCTGAATAAATGTTTCTTAAATGAATGGAATGAATGTAATACATGCATCTACATATGGGAAAGCAATAAAGGGAACACAGATAATGAAAGTAACTGATCTTAGGGTGATGGGTAAATGGGTCATTCACTGTTCACCCTTGTTTTGTGATTTCTGTGTAAGGTGACAAACACATATTAGATATTCATTAACTGATTAATTGAGACTAAATACAATGAAATAGGGAGATGCAATTCCCCCCTTTCCAAGATGAGAAGAGGGGTGTTTAAAGATGACTTATGACAATGGTAATAAGGTGAGAAGAGAGAGTGGCAGCTTTGATTTCTACCTACAAAAAGCAAAAGGTCTACCATGTGAAAGAAGTATTCTTTTTTTTCTTAGTTTATTTACTTTGAGAAAGAGAGAGAGAGAGTACGAGCAGTGGAGTGGGGGAGAGAGAGAGAGAGAGAGATAATCCCAAAGCACTGACAGTGCAGAGCCTGATGCAAGGCTTGAACTCAAAGAACCATGAGATCACGACCTCAGCCAAAACCCAGAGATGGACACTTAACCGACTGAGCCACCCACGCAACCCCTGGAAGAAATATTCTACAGTTGGAAATTATACAGAGGGTAATTTTCAGCTTTGTAAAATATATTCTCTGTTTAAAAAAAAAAAATGATGAACAGTGGTGGGACTGACTTTTCCAGCTCCAAAAGTAAAATATGGATGTTATCTTAAGAGGGACATTGAAGCAAGAATACAATTGGTTCAGTCTTAGAGGATGAATCTTTTTTTTTTATTTAAAAAAAATTTTTTTTCAACGTTTTTATTTTTGGGACAGAGAGAGACAGAGCATGAACGGGGGAGGGGCAGAGAGAGAGGGAGACACAGAATCGGAAGCAGGCTCCAGGCTCCGAGCCATCAGCCCAGAGCCTGACGCGGGGCTCGAACTCATGGACCGCGAGATCGTGACCTGGCTGAAGTTGAACGCTTAACCGACTGCGCCACCCAGGCGCCCCATTAGAGGATGAATCTTAATTTATGGCCTTAAATACATCAGGCCTTTGATTTTACATGGTTCAGTTTAAGGTCATTCTTCATTTAGGAATCACCTCAGGACAGTGGGAAGCTTCTGGTGTCCCCACCAGACAGGTTCACTTCTAGATTTTCTTTGGGGACACAGAATATTGGCAGACAGATAAACTGAATATATGGCCATCTGATAAGTATGGAAACTGCTAAGTAACATTTAAGGAATACTCAGGCCTAAACAGCCATACTGTTCCTGTAATGTAAAAGAAGATTAGAAAAGTTTGAGGAAGGGCTCTAGACAATTAGGAAACAGAAATAGAGATAATGAAACACTAAAATGCAGAGTAGACAACAAGGTCATCCAGAAACCTACTGATGACCCCTTCCCAAGTATTTCCTGATATCCACTACATGTGGAATGTTAATGGATTAACAACCATCAAAGATGAAAAGGAGGTCAAGGAGTTTAGGCTAATTTTCTCATTGGGTGGATACAGATACCAAAGTTATCAGATACTGACTTGCATGAGGTCACCAGCTAAGTAGGGTCAGGGCTGGGCAGATGGCCTAGTTTCTGTGTCTTTTCATCCAGTGCTCCTTCCACTATAATCTGTCTTAAACTCTCCTACAACGCTGTCTTGGGACATGAACAGTGGACACAGGCTCCTTGGAAGCCCACATGCTAGTCTAGAGTCCACTCCAATAAAACTAAAGAGTCAGGTGAAAATCTCAAATAGGCCTTCAGAAGTTACAAGGGACTCCCAAGGCCACAGTGATGAAAATGCTCTGTGACAGAGAAAAGGTCCTTTTTCACTTCATCACGACACAGCTTAAATATATGAAAACATAGTCATATTTCTCCGTTAGAGAATAGTTAATATCCATGAGAGACAAGGGGCACTCAGAAGAAGATGTGGAATTATCTATCATTATGTTATTCTCTGTTGTACTGGTATGTCATTCAGCCCTATTGTTATGGGCCGAACTGTGTCCCCCAAATCCCTATGTTGAATTCCTAACCTCCAATACCTCAGAATGTGGCCATATTTGGAGACAAGCCTTGAAAGAGGTAATTAAGGTAAAATGAGTATGGTGGGCCCTAATCCAATATGACTGATGTGCTTAGAAGAAGAGAATAGGACAGAGATGACACATAGGGAAGACCTTATGAAGACATGGGAAGAAGATGGATGTGTATGAACCAAGAAGAGAGAAATGTAATCAACCCTGATGACACATTGATCTTGGAATTCTAGCCTCCCAAACAGTGAGAACACACATTTCTAGTATTTAGTTACCAGTCTGCGGTATTTTGTTTTGGTAGCCATAGCAAACCAATGCACCTATTAAACAGCAGGAAACTATGTAAAAACAAAACACACACACACACACACACACACACACACACA